ACTTCTTAGATGTCAAAGCTTATGGCAACTACTTTGTCCAAAAAAGGGATGCAACTAGTCATTTGGGGTTGTCTTCTATACAGAAGATGATAACTGTTGTTCGTATACTCGCATATGGTTATGCAGCCGATCACTATAATGAATATATTAAAATCGGCGAGAGCACTGCCATTAAATGCTTGAAGGCATTTTGTAATGTTATTGTTGCTGTATATGTGAGGAGTTTATGCACCTAGCCAATGAAGCTGACATAGCACGGCTGCTTCAAGAAAGGAAGCAGAGAGGATTTCCGGGTATGCTTGGTTTTATCGACTATATGCACTGGGAGTGGAAGAATTGCACAGTGGATGGCACAAGATACAAAGGGGACGCTCTAATAAGAATACTATCATATTGGAAGCAGTTGCCTCACAAAATCTATGAATCTAGCATACATTCTTTGGAATGCCGAGTTCCCACAATGATATAAATGTGTTGGATCATTCCCCGATATTCAACGGTATCGTCAATGGCTAATTGCCGCTGGTTAATTACGTGGTGAATAAACATCACTATAGAATGGGGTATTACCTGTTTGATGGTATATACCATAAGTGGGTAACTTTAATGCAGACCATCCTGCACCCAACCACTGGAAAAGAAAAATTGTTTGCTCAAAGACAAGAAAGAGACATGCAGGAAAGATGCGGAATAGGCTTTTGCGATATTGCAGATCAAGTGGACAATAACGCAAGGGCTAGTGCATTACTGGGAGAAAGTTGACTTACGCCTCATAATGAAAACGTGCATCATCCTTCACAATATGATCATTGAAGATGAGTGTCACACAAATGTTGGAAAAATGGACTCTACCACTGGAGGAGGCAATCCCGATTCCCACTTTAAGTCAATGTCCATTGGTTTTAGCAGCACACATCTTCTTTCGCCAGCTTCAGATTCACAATAGAGAGACAAATATGTGGTTGAGGAATCATTTAATGAAAATTTTGTGGAACCGCTATGGTGATGAAGACGTTTAATTTATGTTGCGTTTTGTTTGCTTTTAATATGTTATGACATTTCGTGTACTATAATTTTTATTATGTAATGATATTTTAAGATTAAAAATGATTAAATTGTTTCTCAACGACAATATTTTTCAATCAAACAATATCTTTGCAAATTATTTAAAAAGTTAGGATTGATATTATACCTTTAAACAATACATTATCCATTATGGATTAAAAAAAAAGACAATAAAAATAAATTAAACAATATAATTACAAATAACTTAAATACAATATCCTGAATTAGAATAAGGAAATAAATAGATTAAGGATTGCAAAATCCTATGCGAATAAGAAAATGAATTTTAAATTTAAATTTTTTTTTTTTTAAAAAGTTAAAAATATTTGATTTTTTTAACTTTTTGTTTTAAATTATGCTGTCAAGGAACTATTGGTGTCAGCCAAACATTGCCTTAACGGCTAAATGCACCTTTTGCGGTAGAATTTTAAAATTTAAAACAAAAAAGTAAAAAAAAAAAATTAATTTTTAAAGGGAAAAAATAAAAAATAAAAGGGTTTTTAATTTATTTTTTGCCCAAATCAATTTTTTTTTGGACAAATAGTGCCTAAACAATATATTTTTTATTTAATTAATTAATTTTATATATATATATATATATATATATATATATATATTAAAAAAAAGCTCAAAATAACCCATTTTTTGGTTTTTTCCGAAAAAACTTGCAGCCAAACCGTGCCTTGTGGCATTGTTAATTGACAGTTGCTGGCTGATTTCAAAACAAAAGAAAAAAGCTCCCCCAAAAAGGACGCCATTTTGGTTGCAAATAAGATATTTTTTACAGCAATTGGGCTTGGGCTTGCAGAATATCGTGAGCCAGCCACGAGCCCTTGTGGACCCGACCATTTTCCGCTAGGCTAGTGAAGCGCTACTGGGCCTTTTGGCTCACGGAAAGGGCATTCCCCTAGCTCGGTGTGGATGCTCTAAATACTTTATTTTGGAAAATTACTGCCAGGGTCTTGCATCTTTTCATAAATCAAGGTTAAAGTGTAAAAAAAAAAAAAAAACCTTTTTGAACTATGTTTGAATTTATAAATAACCCTCCTAAATTATATTTTGTGCATAATAACCCCTGACCTATCACATTTTATTGCAAAATGCCTACACTATATTTAATGAAATGACCATAATGTCCTTTCTTATTGAATTACAATTACTCTATTCTTCTTATTAAAATAATTTATAAAAAAAATTCATACTAATTTGATGACATACTCTCCATTAATTTTGCATAAATTTACCTTTGATTTTTTAAATTAATTGTTTAAATAAAAATCTTAATTAGATAATTAATTTAATTAATTTCTTATTTTTTCATGAATATATTACATGAAAAAGAATATATTTTTTATTTAAGTAATCTATTAATTTTTTGTAAATATATTGTATGAAAAAAGGTATTTTTCTATGGTAAAAAAATTTAAACAGGGTAGGATAAGTTTTATTATAAATAATTAATTTTTAATGATAAGTTAATCATTTAAAAAAATGGTAATTACAAATCCATATGTTTTTTTAAAAAATTTATTTTTAGGATAAATTGATACTAATAGTAAAATTAAGGTAAATAGTATAATTCATATTTATATAAGAGAAAAAATAATAAAAATTATTTAATAAGAAATGACAAATATAATGAGAAAGAGTAAAATAATTTTTTGCCATAAGTTTCTCTTTAATTATAACAAATCAATAGTTTGTGATAATTTTTAATTCAAGAGAATTATTTACAAAAGACTAATAGTTGTAGGTTATTTATTTATTTTTTTTTATTATTATTTTTTTTTGCATGTTACCCTAAAAACAATTTAAAACGTCATTGTCTATCCCATTTTTAACAATTTGATGATCCAAGTCACATCCAACCAGACTTGGTGTACTAGCGCCAAAATATAAAGTTTGGTCAAAAAGTCAGCTTCCAAAGTCTTTTTTTTGGCAATTATTTGTATAAATAAATCTAATATGTGCAAGTATAAAAAACTTTCGATATTTGTACATTTGTTTGACATAGTTAATTGGACCAATAATAATAAAACTAATCCCATTAACATAAAAATATCTAATCACACACACTCATTGTCACAATATGTGATAGTGGGACTCGAATTCTCAACCTCTTCATTTAAAACAAAGAAATCATATCAAATTTGGTAATTTTTATTTTTTTATTATTATTATATATTATTCTGTATTATTCTTATTATTTTAATGTTAGGAGATACAAATATTTCATACTAATAGTTTCACATAGAATTGATACTATATTTATTATTGAACAAAATAAGAAAAACACTCATAATGTTTAAATTTTGAGTAAATATTATCTCTAAAGTTTTTTTTGGATGTATAACTGCATTAGGTTTGAAAAAATGATCAAAAAATGGCTTGAGGCCACTGTTTGATTACAAATTTAGTAATGTACATTATACATGACATTTTTAAGATATAAAAGTTCAAAAATACATTTTTCTCTCTCAATAATGTCCTTATATATAAGAAAAGAAAAAAAAAAAAAAGGAAAAAAGAAAAGAAAAAAAGAAGATATTTTAGTCATTTCACATTTAAGGATAAATTGCACTGACACCCCTGGGGTTTTGGTCAACGTCACTCAGCGGACGATCAGTGGCTCTTTTTACATTGACACCCCCATGAAATTTCAAAAATGTGCATTGACACTCCTCCAAACATCTGAAATCATATGAAATTACTTTTTAACTCTTTGACTTGTCAACAATTCCATTTAAATCATAAAATGACAAATTTAACCTCCAAAATAAGTTTAATGGACCAAATTAACCTCTTCATCTCTTTTATACATATAAATATAGTTTATATATAATAATACTTATACCACCACAACCACCACTACAACATAAAAAATAAAAAAGAAAGTTACTTTTTTAAAAAAAAAAATAAAAAATAAAAAAATAATAATTGTAGACCACCATATCCACCACCACAACATAAATATAAATATATATATATATATATATATATATATATATATTTATTTATTTATTTATTTTTTAAATAACCATATAACTGTACACCATTACCACCACCACACCATAAAAATAAAAATTAAAAAATAAATAACTAATTTTTTTTAAAAAAATTGTCAGATAACTGTACACCACCATAACCACCACTACCACACCCAAACACCACAGTAAAAAAAAAAAAATTGAAAACAACCATGGCGAACACATACTTATATGGTCAAATGCCACCAAAACTATCATCACACCAAGATAACACCACCAACACACTCAGACTACCAAAACTACCACCACCACCACCACAATAGAAAAAATAAAAATAAAAATTTTGAACAACTCTGATAACCTAGAGACCACGACAACCGTACCACAATAACCACCACCAGAGTAAAAAAAAATTTAAAAACAGTCATAGCTAGCCTAGACCCACCACAATAGGGAAAAAAAAAATGAAGAAAAAAGCAACCATGTTCGGGATTGGGAATAGAGAGAGGGAGTGTCGACAGTTATGTACTAAAATGAACTAACAAAAAAATGTTTAAAGATTAAGGTAGAGAAAGAAGCTTAATGATGATGATAGTTTTGTCAAATAATATGATTGATATTTTATAAATTAATTGAATTAAATAATGATGGGCAAATATGACATTTGAAATCACATGGGTGCCATTGTTAAAAAAATCGTTGACCCCCCGTTTAGATGACATTGACCAAAACTTTGTCAATACAATTTACCCCACATTTAATTATTCTTTTCAACATTCAGATTTTTATTTGTTCAAAAATTAAATATTAGAGATTTTTCAGAAGTACATTGGTTACCCATCACTGTATTATTTTATAGAAATACAATCTAATTGGGTGTTGCATTTTTTTAAACAAAATAAATAAATTGAGAATTGAGAAAATTAAATTCATAAATAAAAACTCGGATGTAACTTCAATTTGAAAGTGCTTTTCCTTGTACAAAATTGAGTAACCAGTTTGATAGGAGAGCGGAAAATGAAAGCTTCGGACGTTTCGGCGAGAAGTTACAGCGTTGAAGGCGAAGTGAAGAGAGATAATAAACCCCCTTTCAGGCGAGCTAAGGATGACACAAAGCCAATTCTCCAAGACCCAGTACTATTCTCTCCTCTCTCTATACACACACACACACACTTATATATATATATATATATATTGCTTTATATGTTCATAAATTGTTTCTGTTTTTGTAGATACTGAGATCTGACCCGATAGAGACCGAGGAAGCTGTGCTTCGACTGCCTCCTTTACCAGTCATCAGATCAAAATCCCAATCCGAATGAATTTGTATGTTCTGATATGGACCTAAATTAGATAGATTTCCATTTAAACTGTTATTAAAACATTATCTTATGAATATTGATGTGGGTTAGTTGAACTTGGTGGTCCAAATTATCAACCAACATTTTTTATTGTGATACGTGTGTGTTTATTAGTCTCAAAATGGGTTAATTTTCATGATTCATAGATCAATCTTGTGTAGATGAACTTTTGGATTTTACTGTAGAAAGGAAAGTTCTTTAGCTCAAAATCTGTTTGTTTGTTTGTGATATTCTTTATAACTCTCACTGACATGTAGATTTATTGAGAAAATAGTTTTCTTCATCCATAAATGGCGAATCAAGGTTGTCTATTAGTGGCTTGTATTGCTTCCATGTTTATGCAGCATAATCTTTCGAAGCCTCATATTAACCGTTGTCTATTCATAATTCATTGAGAGTGAAATTTCTTCCTCTTCCTCGGTCCCCCTAATAGATGTTAGCTAATTCGAGGAATGAGGATCCTCTCCTGTGTCATTTTCTTCATGTGTCTGTCCTATGCCTAATGCAACAACTTTAGATCGTGAACGCAACAACTTTAAATCGACAATGCAACAACTATGTAAATGTGTTAAATTCTCAATTTAATGTTGCTACAATGTTGGAACACGATATAATATGTTGCACGGGTGTCGTGTCTTTAAGTTGCATAACTGTTAGATCATTGTTGCATGGGTGGTGAATTTTGTGATGTAGTTGTGTTGCATTGTGATGTAGCTGTGTTGCACCAGTGCATAGGATAAGCGCAAGGATCGCATAAACAGGTGGGGATCCGGGTCTGGCCGAGACTCGAACTTGTGTCGGCGGCCCCTCCCTAATGGATGTTACCCAGTTCTGGTCTGGTCTCTGAGACTCGAACTTGTGTCAGTGAAATCAGTACTCAAGCGTCTTTCTATTGGACCAGACGATGATCCTTAAATTTTAATTTATACCACTGCCAACTCTCTATCATTGACCTCGAACATGCTTTACCATCATAAAACTCCACCAAGCCCCTTTTATCCATAGTGACAACCATATCACCAATTTAAACCATTCCGCAATATACTTTCTCCAACCTAACACCACCATCACCGCTACTCGATCTAAACCTATCACTACCACAACCGTCAAAATCCACCTAAATCTACCACCATCACAGGCAACTGATCCAGTTTCACACCACAGCCGCCACATCTAAATCTTAAGCCATTACTGGCATCAACAAGATATCACAAACTACCGCAGCTCAGTACATTGCCATTAAAATCCACCCTGCAAATCTCTATCTCCACCATTTAAAAACCAACCTAAAAGTTTCCACAATCTCCATTTCCCTTGCTTAAATGAATCAAATTGTTGATATGATCACAAACACAAACATTGACATTGTATGATCACACATGTATCAGCAAATGGTTTGGAATGACAAAGACCTGCGAGCAATTCTAGTGTCTATTAATAGGAATCCCTTTAACCAATTAAATCAGAAAATTAATCTGTTTTTAGTCTATCAAATTAGGGAAAATCATGGCCATCCATTGTTCGTTAGTCAAAACTTTTGTCGTCATTTATGTTACACGGACTTTCTTAATTGTGTATGCAACATGTGTTTGAGATGTTTTGCTAGACACGCACCTAGTAAGCGTAACCAATATTTCCATAACTAATATTCAAGTTTACATTCCAGTGCACATAAAACTCTTGCATTATGCTTCTTCGATACAAAAAGTAGAATCCTCAATCAGATTAAGGCTGGCATCAACAGAGAATCTGCCTGCAAATTCTTGTACTCGGCATTTAATCAGAGAATGACAATTGTCGATTGCGTTAAGTAATTGCGTGTTCTACTGAGATTCCGGATAATTGTTTCGTGGTTGGATCAGTTCAGCATTGCTAGTTGGGTTCCAATCTGTCAAAGATGCTTTCATTTTATCCGGTTGTTTCTATGCCATAGTAGGGATTTAACTGTTGAGGATGCTATCATTTCTTGGAACTGCTTTTGTTGCTCGTTAGGCTGTTTAGCAGTTGTGTTGAGTTACTTGATATTTGTTTCCTCTGGATTGGATAAAATTTGCAAGGCTAGTTGAATATATCTGGTCTTCAGTTGAAGCCTCTTTTCCTTCTGCTTTGAATGCTTCTGAATTTGGCATATGTTGTAAACTCTTGCCGAGACGAAGCTGGGCCAGTTTTAGATTTTATAAGGGTGCTGCTCTAGTTCTTCCGAGATATATTTGCTGATTTCTAATCCTTTGCTGTTTTCTGATGCAGATGTCTCATTTGCATTATTTTCTCTCTTTTCGCTGTTGAGTTGTCTGTATAGTATTGTCTTGGCTCAATGGGAGGTCATCGTGCTGTATCTTGTTAGGTCTTTTATAAAAATTCTAATTTAATAATTTTCCCTAATATATAAAAATGTTAGTATGCGCTTGTTCTGCGGATTTGATAAGTCTGATATTTAGACTTGGAAGACATGTTTTCACCACATAGAGTCTCGTTTTAAGGTTGGATATGGTTATCGCCGCTTCTGATCTGATTGGAAAAATGGTAATTTGATGGGGGTGGTCGAAGATGGAGGTGATGATAAATCTGTAAATTCAGTATTTTTATTACTTCAATTTTATGTACTTTTCAGGCAGATATAGTATATTCAACATTCAAAAATTTGACAGTATTAAATAGTTTTCAAAACTGTAAGCTCTGCCCTAAGATTTTTTAAAGTTGATTTTCAGTTTTATCACGCAATACCTTAGCTGACATGTTCTCTCACCCCCTACTTGGTTCTATATCCTTTTCACCGAGAGCGCAACCCCCTACTTGGTTCTATATCCTTTTCACCGAGAGCGCAAAAGTGACAAAATTGAGAGAGAGTGGCATCAATTTGTAACTACTTGTGCGGTAGGTCTCGTTTTAGGTGAATGTTGCCAATTTGATTGTCATCTTTGTGGTACATTGGCTGGTACTGAAATTACGAGATCAATTGCTTGGTTCTTCCCGCCGACCCTTTTTTTTCTTTTTCTTTTTTTCTATTTAAGCTGTATTATTCTTTTTCTTTTAATTTTTTTTTTTCCTTCCAATCAATAAATAATAAAGATTACAACAATGATCATGCAGTATATCGATGCAATGATAAATATTGAAATGTGTTGCCTCTTACAATATCCACCATCAGTGAGTGAAAACAGGTTAGAAATGCCTGCAAATGACAAATGACGTTTGACATGCCTCCTAAAGCTCGAACCCATTACTTTTCCTTTGAGCATTACTTTTCCTTTGAGAAGTATAAACTTAGTACCACTAAACCACTGGTCTATTGGTAACACAGGGGTAATAGAGGTTGAAAAACGAATTATATATAAAACGTCAAGTCAAGTCAAGTCGAAGTCGAAATCAGACTCCCTCACTCTCGATCGAATCCCAATTTTTCTCTAAAAATTCAAAGATTACCATACTTGGTTAATAATACTTGTTTATAACATAAAAATCACAAAAAACCTAAGTACTAACTACAAACAAATTAAATATTCCAAGATTTCCGTCACCTTTTTTCAGTATACACAGGAGCTCCAGAACAAAATAAATCCCTTCTTTTTTTTATATATATTTTAAAAAAATGTAACTCCGAGGAACATTTCATATATACCTCTGAAAACTATATTTTTCATACACTTCACATGATGGTGAAATTGAAATAACGAATAAAATTCTGGGCTAGTTTGAGCAGAAGAAATACAAGGTCATGACATATCTTTGGGGTTATTGTGCAAAGGAACAAGTTCCCTCTCTCTCTCTGAAAAAGAAACAAAAACTTACGAGTTCTCTCTCTCTCTCTCTCTCTCTTAGAGAAAAGAAACAAACAAAAACTTACACAAGTACTCTCTCTCTCTCTTGAAAAAAAGAAAAACTTAGGAATCACTGGCAGGAAGCTGCTCAAAAGTCTCACCTCTTAACTCGTTCTCGCTGAAGAGATCCTTTTGAACTGGAACATCTATCTGCTGTTGGGATGAGACAACATCCGCAATGGCTCTTATAGCTGTTGATGCCTGATTATCAGTCAACTCCGTGTCTTTCGGTAAACCAGATTTATCGGATTCCTCCAAAGAATCCTCTTCTTGCCGCGGGGGTGGAACAAAGAAAGGTATCTTACCCCTCTGCCAATCATGGAGGACCATCTTTGCTACAGTCATCAAGTCAGGTTCACCGCCCTGGACAAAACATCAAATTTGTTATCATCGAGAAAAACGTCAAAAACTGATCTGTTGAAAAAACAATCAGATCAGTTTAACAGAACTTTAGAAGAAGAACATAAAGATTTAAGTCTTAAAAACAAACCACGCTGTCGCTGAGCAGCACAAAAACTGATTCTGCTTAAGAACTACATTTGATGTCAAATGAGCCAATGGAATTATTTCAGGGTTCCCCAACCCATTTTGGGTTGAGATTTTTTTAACAGATACACACATAAACTTGCAAATCAGTACGTCAAGTACACGCAGGATAGTCAAATAACTAATTCTTGAGCCATCTTGGTGAACTCATCCACCCATGGTGGGTCAAACTTATCTTAATGTTTATAGCTGCATCAGCCAATCTCAAACACGTCATACTTAAACTGAACGGCTTACGAACAACGGTGCTGTATTTTTAAACCTATTCTCTTCAAATCAAATAGTAACTACTGCTCATAATGGCATAGGATTGAGTAAACAACTCAATTATGAGGAATTTTACTTAAAATTCCTATAAATGAATAGGAAATTTTGTTTGTACCATACATGAATTGTATGGTGATAACTACTGCTTGGCTTGGCATGGTTTAGTTATCATACATCAATACATAGGTAAACCTACTCCAAGGTTCAATAAATTTTAAAGCAATTCAACTTTAACATTTACTGATGGCAGAATTATAAAGTCAGAAAGCCGAGTGAATTAATATAGTTTTTTATGATTTAACAATAATAATAATTTTAAAAGTAACAGGCATTGGATTTAAATTTTAATCTTTTTACCAGGTATGATCTTGGATGTATTTAGTAAACAAATTATATGTTTCAATACATATTCCCCCCAACCCCCAACCAAAAAAAAAAATATATATATATAGTTTTTTTTTTATAAAAAAAAATTGTCTTTTTGATAAGAGGAACAGTACTTGCTCCAAGTCTAGAGGGTTGGCAAAACTGGAAAGCATTTCGTCAAGTTCTTTAACACTGCTTATGGCTGTAAATGAACCGAGCATTCGACGAAGAGCTCGAGCTTGGCTCGCTGAGAGCTCGGCTCGTGTTTGTTTGTTTAATAAATGAACCAAGCACAAACAAAATTTTAAAGCTCGATTAATAAACAAGCCAAGCTCAAACACTCCCCTGCTCAGCTCGTTTGTTCGCGAACATGTTCGTGAACAAAGCTCATTAATGTGTTCGCAAACAAACAAATAAATTAACAAATATATAAATACACATATTAATATATAGTTGAAACTGAAAATCCATTTAATTTATATTCAATTATATATTAGGCCCATTTTAAAGTAAAATATTAAGTTCAGCTCTTAGGCCTTGGCCCAACTTTAGGCACATAAAGGAATAAAATTCATAAGCCCACATATATATACACACATATAATCCCTAACCTAACCAAATCTCATTCTTCTTCTTTACCTCTTTCAATTACAGCGCCACACGCCTACCAGGTCTCTCCCACACAGTTCTACCAGAGCTTCTCTATTGCACACACTCTTCTGTTCTCTTTCATAATCAAGACTCAAGAGGAGATGGAAACTTCATCATGGCTGTATGATTTCGAGATCGGCTATATATAATTTTCTCGGAGATCACTGTAATATTGTTTTTTTTTTTTTTCTTGAATGCATTTGTGTAATGTGTGCCTATATATATGTATTGTTATGGGGATCTGTGTAAATGGAAAACTTGTATTCCGTAATATATATATATATATATATCTACACACACTCTGGGACTGATATGTTAACGAAGCTCGAAGCTCGTCTCGAATAGCTCGTGAACAATTCTGAGCCGAGCTCAAACATCTTTGCTGCACGGCTGAGCAGAGCTCGAACAGCCCACTACTCGGCTCGTTTACAGCCCTAGCTATATTACACTAAAACTTATATCAAGCATTCAGAATACAACTTACCCTCAAAAGTTTTCCACTTAATTTGCATAGCTGAACAAGAAAGTCATTATCATCATCCCTGAAAACAACACAATAAGGTATAGTCAAGTGATTTATAAGCCACTAGCGCGCATCATTCAAATTCATATCTGGTTAGATGTTTAATTGCATGATATAGGGGTAAATACACCCTCTAAAATATTAACAAAACTATAATAACTGAACGCTACAGATTAGCCGGCTAGAATCAATGCATATTAATCATCTTTTTTCAGTTTACGAGCAGATTGCACATAAACTACTCCCAATCAATAAAAGCAAGCTGCGCATATGAAGTAGGTAAGTTTTAATTAATTTGTTGTCGCCCTTTAGGGGTTTTTATTTTAGGAGGAGGAGGAAGAAGAAGAAGAATACAACAGGGGCCAATAAAATAAAACAAACCCGCATCTTTTAAAGCACAATATGCAGTTCAAAGTTGTGAACATGGTAAGCTACTTGTCAAAAAAACATGCCAGCTGTTCAAAGCTAGAGAAAACGTTTAGAAGAGTAGTGAACGAAGAGAGAACCACTTGTCAACAAAACTGGGAAGAACCAAGTTGCTCCAAGTTCTACTGAGAATCAGAATATAACTAGATTACACTACAGGTATACAGATAAAATAGCATACCAGTCTTTTATCTTATATGCCCTTTCCAGGTGCTCCTTCTTCACACGTTTCAAAACTTCTCCAATGTGCTCAGTAGCATCATGCAAATTTGTGACACGTACCTGAAGGTAAGGGCCAATTAGTTCACCAATTTGAAACTGTTGGAAGTATGTAAGATTTGCGTACCAAAATATTAGATTTAAATACCAAAAATACAAAAGAAAGCTTTATAAAAGCTTAGGTAAGCCAGGAGTTACATAGATCAGAAACTGCAATGTAGAGAAAGAGAGCAGCGTAACATCTGTATGGCCAAACTCAGAACACTTAAAATAAGACATAACATTTGTATGGCCAAACTCACACTTAAAATAAGGCTTGGGTAAAAACGATCATTTATATATCAATTTGATGAAACTCTTAAAATAAAGTTGGTTTTTGCAAGGCATTAAAAAAATAATTTTGATGTGCATCATTAAGCATGTATCACTACCAACACATTTATAAACACTGGTTTGTCCTTTAGGTCCTTGATAGACGCATAATTTGCCAACAGTGAATCTTAACATTACCAGGTGGCTACCTAGAAGTCAACCAGTTCTACAGGTTTTTCGTATGCCTAGATATAGTTCGATGTAGATGCAACTCTCGTGATAAGACAATTTGTACAAGACACCATGAAATTAACTATAAAGTGCATTGTAAGGCATGCAACTGCTACCAACATGTTTTCAAACACTGGTTCGTCCTCTTAAGTGCCTGATAGTTACATAATTTGCCGATAGTAAATCCTACCACTACCATGTGGCTACTTCGAAGCAACCACTTTTTGAGGGCTTTCAGATTCTAGCATACACCTAACTATAGTTCAATACAGATGAATATCACATCACAAACAAATGGATGAACCTTTTAAATGTACAAGGTCTTAGATATTGCTGATTTGGTATGTTTGATGGCACTTCCATGCCCACATTGGTTCTCGACATAATTTTTGGAGTTTAGGTAGTTTTTAGGGTTGAGTTATTTTACCATTCTCTGAGTGCTTTAATTGCTTTAAATACCAATCAACTTGAGATATTTAACTATAAAAGAATTGGGAACCATAAGATAAAAAAAGCAGAAGAAAAAGACTTCACATAAAGTGCATTTTACAAGCCCCAAAATGTTTAATTGTTGTCCATCTGTAGTTTACATTTGGCCTGCAACCAATGCCCTTGATCATATTTACTTGGTCCTTATGATGCATTAAAAAAACCATTGCAGCTTAATATATAAAATTTTGAATAAAGCAAGTGAGAGTAAATAACAAAGCCCAATCTCCCCAGCGGAAATTATATCTTTATCATTTTCATTTAGATGAATGGATACAGAAATGAATCCTAAAAAATATTTAGGTACATAGGATGCAGTTCAAAGTTGACAGAACGTTGATTTAAGAGTTGCTGACTGAAGTGCTGAACACTTTTTTTCTCTTTTTATTTTTTTTTTTTCGCGCGCGCGCCGGGGGGGGGGAGGGGAGGAGAAGAAGTTAAGAGTATATAGTGTAAGAGACTAAATATTAGACACTAAAACTGTGATAACACCTATATGGAGTGACCAGATGGTCAAAAGTGAAAAACGTTGACCTTTCAAAAAACATAAAAAGTTTTGCACACAAGTATAGAGTTCAAGGCATTTTCAAATACAGGACTTCACATCACAAGGCAGAATGTTAATCACAACTTCATCATAATATACATTCACAACATGATGGGTTGGTCTATTGGCTCACTACTCTGGATAATCAAAGACCAAAAGCAAAGTCCGAAGCAAGGGGCAATTCATTAAAAAAATTGCATCTTGTTCTAATACATGAACATAATTTAACTAAAGCCTAACCTAAACAGAGAAAAGACAAATATCATGAAAAAGACTGTGCAGGCATTCAGAAATAACATACCACACCCTTCAGTACAATATCTGTTTCAGAGTCTCTGTTCTGGTAAACAACTCCAGGGCAGTCGATCAAAAAAATCCTCTTCGTTAGTGTTATATATTGCCACACTTTAGTCTCTCCTGGAATAGGAGCAACCTTGCAAACCTTTTTCAAAATGGAAGAAACAAACATATCAGCTAAGCCGCTGGACTAAGCAACCTTGGTTCTTAGACCAAAAAAGAGAAAAGAAGGGAAGAAAAAGACCCAAAAAGAGAAAAGAAAGGTTGGAAGAAAAAGGCTTGAATCAACAACTGAAACTTAAAGAATAAAGTAAAGCAGACTACATTAATTCTTAAAACGACATTCCATTAAATATTGCCATGCAATTGCAGGCACTGCTTCTACACTTATTCATTGATGAGTGAATACCTTCAACAAGAAAATTAATTACAGATCCAGCAAACTAATTATGACGAACTTCTAATCATGCAACTAATATCAAAACCAAAAAATAAAATCAGTGTCTGATGCACAAATATATCTTAAACCAGATGTGAGGTTTCTTTACTATGCAAGTTAGTGCTGCGGCCAGTTTTGTTTTCTTTGATAAGTAAAATTGTATTAAAAAGCGTTCAAACAGGGAACGCATCCAATAAAAACTACACATGCCCCCCCAAAAAAGGCCACTAAACTCTCAAAGAGTCCAAAAAATCAACTATCTCCCCTATGGATATACAATTTTCCCCCAAAACCCAACAAAAAAGAGAACAAAGAATAAAGAACTATAGCGCTCCAATAGGAGTCTCCTTACCATCAAAGGATCTCCTATTCCTTTCTGTCCATAAACACCACCAAACACACAGAGGCGCTATCCTCCAAAAGTCACGGACTTGGGTATCCACTGTACATCCTGTACAAGCCTCAATCAAACCCTTGGAGGACCTAGGCATAACCCAACGGACCCCAAACAAACTCAAGAAAAGACCCCAACTGTCTTAGGTCACACAACAGCGCAACAAAAGATGACCAACCATCTCCTAATCTCTCTTGCACATACAACCATTTAAAAACAATTGATTTCCTACTTAGGTTGTCCAGAGTTAGAATCTTCCCCGGAACAACTGTCCAGGCAAAAAAAGCCACCTTGAGGGGGGGGGGGGGGGGGGGGCGTACAAGCCTCAATCAAACCCTTGGAGGACCTAGGCATAACCCAACGGACCCCAAACAAACTCAAGAAAAGACCCCAACTGTCTTAGGTCACACAACAGCGCAACAAAAGATGACCAACCATCTCCTAATCTCTCTTGCACATACAACCATTTAAAAACAATTGATTTCCTACTTAGGTTGTCCAGAGTTAGAATCTTCCCCGGAACAACTGTCCAGGCAAAAAAAGCCACCTTGAGGGGGGGGCCTTGGACCGCCACACAGAGCCTTCCACAGAAAAGAAGGCCCTGGACGATCCATGAGGCCCCTGTAGAGCGACCGCACAGAAAATCTCCCTTGTGGAGGAGGAGCCCATACACAGGAATCAATGCCCACTCCCACAATCTCCTGGCGATACAGCAACTCCAAGAATCCAAAAACATCTTCCAACTCCCAATCAATTGTAAAAATGCCTCGAAAACAAACATCCCAGGTTGTCCACCTGCTATCAAGCTGATAACAGTCGGCCACCAAGGCGTCTCTATCCACGGCCCTTGTAGAGCGACCGCACAGACCGCCCTGGACCATCCATGAGGACCCTGTAGAGCGACCGCACAGAAAATTTTCCTTGCGGAGAAGGAGCCCATACACAGGAATCAATGCCCACTCCCACAATCTCTTGGCGATACAACTCCAAGAATCCAAAAACATCCTCCAACTCTCAATCGTAAAAATGCCTCGAAAACAAACATCCCAGGTTGTACTCCTGCTATCAAGCTGATAACAGTCGGCCACCAAGGTGTCTCTATCCACGGCCCCCGGCAATCCTGAAAAGTCTGGGACAGTTAACATAATAACTTGTGATAGTTGCCAACTAATAGACAAGACCGTTGTTGACTACCAATGAAAGCTTTAAGTGCCATTACTATGATTTAGGGTGCTTTTTGTATAGGTCACTTGTCCACTTTTACAAAACAAAGCATCAAACATGGACAGCTGGGTATTTGATGATCCATCGGGATAAGTTAAAATCTTACATGGTAACGTCCAGTCAGGTAGTCATTTCTAAGCAAATATACCTTACAAGAATGACTGTGTGGTTGTGTGCATGCTCGCGGACAAGTATACAAATTTTAGAATACAGGGGTTACCGAAGAAAAGGAAAATCATGATGTAATCATTGAGAATGAAACCAATTGCTCATCTGAAGCCAGCTAAAAAATGCTGAATTTATCCATCTCTAACTTTTGCATGTAATCCCTAATTGCAATATGATTCCTTCATCAATCACTAAGAATGCAACTAAACAGGGGTCACAGTTTCTTGAGAAAGGTTCCAATACAAATTATATCACGACAGATGAAAACCATAAGCAGATTGGTTAGGTGACTTAGGTCCCAAATGGGCCAACTAGAAATGCATAGCCAATAAAATAAAGAGAGCATAAAACCTGCTACTGCAATCGTAAAACCATAACCACAGAATTTTTCCACCAACAAGGCAACAATGCCGCCTTCTTTTTTTTGTAGGTAACTGCAACAACTCTGAAGAGCATGCAATTGCAACCATTTACTCAAATGATTTTTAATAATATTACACACCAAAATCATTTTCATTATTCACATATAGCTTCACAAAACCCAAATTGGGGAATGATAACAGGTGCTGGGAGGTGGTAAAAACATACTCAAGCATTTCAAATAAAAATAATAATTACAACATAATGCAGGCATTCAAAGCCTACTGCATAGATAGCAACATTTAAACAAAATCTACTTTCATTTATTCTGACAAGGATTGTTACAGTGCAGGAAAAAAATAAAATAAAATAGTGAATCACTTCATTCGGTTTTGTCAAGATAACCAAACCAAACTTCTGTTATATCAATTATCAAATTCACCAATTACAGGTTCACATAAATATCACACACATTAGCGCAAGGCACAGGGACTGATTTAGAAATAAGAACATTACATTCTTGGTACGTAGTGTGTTGATTACTGATGACTTTCCCACATTGGGATACCCAACAAATCCCACAGATATTGCTTGCTTGTCACTTTTTAAGCGGGCAAATTGTCTCAATACTGATAGAAGAGATCCCTACAAGCAACAAAATACATAAGCTCACATAACAATAGACCATCATACTGAAACAAATATATGTGAACATCAGAAGATACACAAAGTACACCCAGTAAAAAGGTAAGAAGTTCTCAAGTTCTGCACAACTTAAGGTGGGAGTATGCATTACCATTACCACCAAGGGCCAACTCAAGTGGTATCTCTTCCTCCTCCCACATGGGAGGTTAATGGTACAAGTCTCCACAGGAACAACAGTGGGTTGAGTCATGAATGGGCTTATGTGCAGTTTTTGCTCAACTAGTACTGTTAATCATTGTCTACATTCAAAGAAAAGATGATATATATTTTGAAAATATGATTTGGAAAAGGGAAAGCATACACTTAAACTATACGATACTATGGCCTATAATTATGACATATGATATCTAATCATTAAACAATTAATCATGCTGCATAGTCTGCATGAATTCAGAAAGTTGAATTTTTTGGAAGAATGTTAAAGGAAGAACATTTTTAAATCGTACATTCTATAGCCAAGTCAAAAGGATTTTTGGTACTAGCCTCCTTGTCAGTTTGAATAATGTAGCTACCCATGCATCTACTCTTCAACAATATCTAAATACCAATTTATGAAACCTCACTTTCTGCTGCGGCCCCTATGACCAGTTTTTCTGAAGTGAAATTTCTATCCTAATTATGCAAGCATACAGTGAAATTTTGAATTTTTTGGAAATACAGGTACCGTTGGAGTGATGAGAGTTTTAAGGGGTCCTAAGGAATCATTATTTATATCCCCTCTTTTTCTTTTTTAGTAGTGCGAACACATTTGCACGTCATTATATTGAAATATATCGGACATACCTTCCCAAAGGACTTGTTGACGCTTGCATGGAATGCAAGAGCAGGATATTCCTTGGACAGCACTCTAAGCCAACCCTTTGTTGCCCAAGCAGGGATCAAATCACACTGAGAAAATAATGCAGTAAAATTTTACGGTGGGCTCATACAAACATCGTGGAAAATAAGGAAAGCCAACTCTAATAATCTCATTGGAACTCCAAAAGTAATAAGGCAAGTACCTTGTTTAACAAGAGGATCATGTGTTTATGCTTGCAATGCTCTTTCAAATGCTTCTCCAAATGATAGCATCTTGTACCTTGTGGGTCTCTAGCATCCAAAACCTGCAACTAGAAACATATAAACTCCAACTTCTCTATCTCTTTAATTTTTTATTTTTATTTTATATTTTTGCCATAAAAGAAGAGGTGAAGGAAGGAATCCGAGTCAAAATTCAGGGCATGTAATTGTATGATGTGACAAATCACTCAAGAGAGATTCCATTGGCCACAACAAAATCTAATGATGCTAACAGTCTATCTTCTGTGTTAATTAATAGAACCAGATTAATATCCAGTGGACGATAACATGTATAAAACTGGAACAGCCATAGTACAGATGTCCTTGAGAAATACTTTTATAGGAAAAAACAAGCCACAATTAGCTAAAATTAAACTTTCAGCTGAGAAAACACAGACATTAATTCTCTTTTTCTATAGAACATAGCAAATAAGTAGCAAAACTCTGACCTGGACAACAACATCTGATGAGTCTATCACTTTGTAGAGCTCACCCCATATGCGTTTACTTTGACCTTTCTCAAACATTGTATGCCGAACCAAGTCCCTGAATCCGTCTCCTTCATTTCCTTCTACGGATGTAGTAGCACCATAATTCTCCTCAAAGGCATCTACAGAGTATGAGAAACAAATGATATGAAGTACATAACCACTGTGGGTTTAAAAAATAATTGAGTCATGCTAACTAGCCACTAAAACAACAAAATAATAGTAATAAAATTCACGGGTTCATTTATCAAAACATCCACTATATATGCAAGTACCACGAGATTAGAATTGATTACATTCACCAGAATGTTAAACATATGAATTACATTCATTTACCTTGTGAACCATCAGCCTTCTTAGCTAATGACTCATAATCTGAAATCATCAGCTTTGGACGCTTTCTCTTTGACTTAGGTCCAAATGCATCCGCAAAAGGCTCTGTATCAAGAAGATGAACTCTTGCTTGCTTGATAGACATGAAACAAGGATCAAAATTAGCTAACAATTTTGCAAAGCTATTATATTAATAAACTTTAACTCTTGCAGAAAAAAAAGTTTTTGGCCCTTTCAAATGAAAATAAGAGCCCAATTGAACAAAAACTCCATACCTTCTGGTGATCATTTAAAAGGGACATGGGCAGTTTCCTGTCCTTCAAAATGACATTGTAGTTACTTGAGAGTCTATTTTGTAGTTCGTCACGAAAAAATTCAAGCTCTTTCTGATTTACAACTCGAGTATTGCCTACAAATTAAGAGAGATGATATAAAAATATGCTCCTTCAGTATTAAGAAAATAGTATACCTCTTTCTAAAGTTTAGCTACTTGGGATAAATCTTATTCGGTAATTGTAGGCTAGCCACCTCTTTCTAAGACAATCACTACTAAAGACCTCTCTAAGCAATAGCTACTCGGGCATGAACTTGCTCTACTGGTAACAGATAGGAATCTTACTTCAATAAAATTATCAAATCAGAGCTAAGTAACCCAGTTTCTGCTTAAATAGGATACTAGAGAGGCTCCAATAATTGCCATAAATCTAATCAAAATGCATAAAATTATAACACTAGCTAAATTTTGGTGTGAATCTCAGTGTATCTTTCTATATATTTCAAACTAAAACTGGGTTTGCCATATCTCTGAGCTGAATCCCCAAACCCATATGTCTGTATTCAACTCGTACATATACACAGAAAAATTATACACAGGGAGTTAATTGAGCAAATGTGGAGGAGTCATGTAATGTAATAATCACGTTATTACACCATTAAAAACATTTTAGAACATTTAACAATTGGGATAACAAATAATAATAATAATAATAATATTGGGTCATGTACCAAACCAGCGGCGATCGGGTTGGATTCGAGTTGATGGCAACTCCTGGGATTGCAAGTCGTGCTTAAGAACCTTCCCTTTACTGTCACGTTTGGGCCTCGTATTGTACATCTTAAGCCTCCGCACAGTGGCGGCGCTGCGACTGCCTTTGTTTTTGTTTCCATTCCCATCTCTGTTAGCATCCAGCGAATGCTTTGGCTTTCCAGATACATTTACGGATCTCTCTTTCTTCTTCGCCATCTTACCTTACCTACTACGCAAAAGCTCAGCAATCAAAAATTGAGCACCTTTGCAAAGCTTATTATATACATATATATATATATATATATATATATATATATGCATATATAGAGAGAGACGGAGAGACTTACAGGGGATTACAAAAATCCTGTTTCGAAACCCTAAGACAGTAGCAAAAACGAGAACTAGTAAATGGAATAGATGGCACTTTGAAGTTGGGTGTAAATTGGGTTGGGCAACCGAACCCAACCCCAGCCCAGCCCAATTTTTGTGGACTTGAATATTTATTTTTATAGTTAAGGTAGGGTGTTAGTTAAAAAATCTCCGTTCAAATTTGATTTGGATTGAACTTGAATTGATATGCTACCTGAACCGAATTTTAATATTATATATATATATATATACACTCTCCAGAAATCAATGGCGACACTTAAATTTAGGACGAAAGGAGTATATATTTTTAAATACATTATATATAATATTTAAATTATGATTAGATTTTTTTTTTTTTTTAATTTTTTTGTTAAATTTTAACTTATTGTATATTAATTTTAGAAGAATTAATTTTTTTTAAAATTTATTTAATTTTTTTAAAGAGGTGATAAAATTTGAGTACAACATATCAGTGATCCCATGTATAGCAAATTGGCTGTTTGATTTTTTTTTTTAAAAGGTGGTTGAGGATGGGTACAACGTATCATTAGTGATGAACCTTAATTCCATTTAGTCCTGTTTAGCAAATTGGTCTTTCAGTACGAAGAACAATTAACATAAACTACTTTTTGTTACTCATGCAAATAATTATATACAAAAGAAAAACCCCTATAAAATATGTAAATATGCTACTTTTACTCTAAGTCACAATTTTTTTAACGAGTGTTACTTTTATGTTCCGAATGTGCTTAAACGTTTTAACTTCCGAATTTGCTCTCATTCCTACTTAACTTCCACTACTGCAAAAATAATAATAATAATAAATAAATTAATTAAGTGACAATTTCACTGTTGCAAAATTGTATATTTTTTTTATATAAAAATAAAAAAGAATTGCACCTATGCAACATTGTTTCTTTCTTTTTTTAGCTCCACAACGTTGCAACGGTGCGATGTTTCTTTCATTTTTAGTTAGTTAATTAATTATCCATTTTTTTTTAATTTTTTGTCAAATATTGCTCAACATAAGAAATAATTTCCCCTTGCACATGTGCAACATTGTTTCTTTCAATTTTTTGGGAGACTTATGAATAGACGCAATCATAGATGAAATTTGCCTAGATCATAATAGATAGGTCATAAAAATTTGTGAATCAAAGTTTTTGAGGTTGTATGGAAGTAGTATTTACATAATTTTTTTTTGTATTTATTATTATTATTACAAATAAAACTCTAGATATTAATTTTTCTCTTGTTAACTATTATTAAAATCTAATTATCCAAATATTAGAATAAATTCAAATGAGATTTTATTGTTACTATTCAATCGGCCACGTCGGAGTTATCTTCCCTCCAACTTATCTCGCGGCTAACAGAATCCGACATGTCTCGCCTCACACAGAAGAGAGAGAAACGAAGAGAATCTAGAGAGAGAAACAGAACGAATGGCGTTTCAATCGTCTCCTGTACCCTCTTCTCTCCCACTCTTCTCAGTACACTCGAAAAACCCCTCAAAGCAGTGTAAGTCTCTCTTCCTCTCTCTCTCGATTTTGTTGAACACCCATTGATGGGTTTGAGCTTTTTGACAACTTTAAGCTATCAATGTTCAGATTTGTTCTTAGTTTTTAATTCATAATGTTAAAATTAACATCAATTTATATACACAGTCTTCTCTCATGTACCCTTTTCTATTCCCCTCTTTTTTGTACCCCCCAGAGCAGTGTGAGTCTCTCTCTCTCTCGATTGATTTTGTTGAACACCCATTTATGGGTTTTAGCTTTTTTGAAACCTTTAAGCTATCAATATTCAGATTTGTTCTTAGTTTAATTTATACTGTTAAAATTAACATCATTTTATATACAGAGTCTTATATTGTGAAATGTTAGCATGTAGTTTGTTCAAAATAAGACACAGAATCTTAATGTTCTCGGCCATTAGCAACCCATATAAGGTTTATTAGTTTTCCCAAAATTAAAATGGATGATTTTCCAAATTTGAGTTAAGATTTTACTAGCACTGAATCTGTAGTTTCTTCAATTACTCAGTCTGAAGTTCCCAATATCTAAATTTTTCAGAAATGCCTGCATAATGAAATCTTCAATAATCTGCCGAAATTTTCACCTTTTGGCTGAATTTTCGTCATGAATTTTTACGAATTTGGCTTCCTGATGGAATTGAAATAGCTGATAATTTAAATAGGGTCACCCAATTCAGAAACCATGTATGGAATTCCACTTCGAACTAGAGCTGTATCATAACTTCAAGCGCATGTATACGCATGCCGTGAATTGAATTACTCCACCATGCTTATGTCAGTTTTCTTTTTCTATTTGTTTTACAATATCCAACCTACAAAAAATTGAGTGATTGTGAGATTCAGGAGCTAGTAGGAGGAAATGAATTGCTCTTTGATAGACATCTTTCGAACAACTTTAGGTCCTTATTCTGTGTCTTATACTTCCTTGCGAATTTCCAGTTTCTGAACTCCATTATTTGCCTTTATAGCTCAATTTGTTCTATAAGCATTCTGGATAGTCGGTTTCTGGTTTGAAATGTTATGTTATGGTATAATGGAATGGATTTATCCCATGCTCCAGAGTGAGCTCTAATTTTTTACCTTGCTGAACTCATTCTAAACTCTCACTTTATCATTTTAAATTTTTGAAGACTGGATTGGTGTTTGACTACTTGTTATCGAAGTGGGTAATTACTTTTGTTTTTATTTACTTGTGATGAATGACAGTTAACTCAAAGTCTGTTGGGTTTAATGTGAGATCCAGCTTGGAAAATGATTCCTCTCCAGATATTTCAGATCACTCATCGGAACCTATCAAGAAGAAGGTTTGTATTTTTAGTGCTTGTCATAGTGCCTGCAATGGCTACTGTTATATCTTGGTGAGGAGCATCTGCTACTGTTACTAATCTAAAAACAGTGCCTCTGATGTCTGAGTATTTTTAAAATTACTAATTCAGTAAATGTTGTTATTCTTTCCTTTATAAACAATACAGGGATCTCAAGCATTTACCTCACGACGGCAGTGTTTGACATGTTTCTGCTCAAGTGTAGCTCTTATAAACATTTCTGGTAATTCTATTTGTGAACCAAAGGCCATTGCTTTGGAAGGAAAAGAAAAACCTGCATGTCGAAACTGTGGGGGTAGTGGTGCAATAATTTGTAAGTGTAGACATTTCATTTTATTTCATGTTAATACTGTTTCCTTCATCTACTTGCGTATTATGAACATCTGTGTAGTATATATATAGTATAGTATTTGCAGCTTGCAAGTACCTTATTATTTCAAAACAAAATCCTGTCACTTGCGGTTTTTATTTTTGACAGGATTCATAGATTAGTTGGTTAAGAAGAGAAGGAAGTTTTTTGAATTTGCAACTTGCAAGTACCTTTTTTTTTTTTTTAAAAAAAAAAAAAAAAATGTGACTTGGGCTTTTTATTTTTGACAGGATGCATAGATTTGTTGATTAAAAAGAGAAGTCTTTTGAATTTGAAAATAAAGTAAGAAACAAGCAAACAAGAAATACAATTAAAAACTTAGGATAGAAACTTCCCTCAAATTTTCATATAATCCCGCCAAATCCCACTCTCTCTCTCTCTCTGTGACACACACATACACAGCATGCTTTCCCTTTCTATAGCTGAATAGAAGAAAAGACCTGCTGTCCCCAACTTTAAATCTCTTTTCTGTGCACTACTCGTTTGCTTACCTCTAGCAGTCGTATTCACTACTGCCACCAGTCCCACTAACACCACCATTACAGTGGCGCCACCACCGTTCTCACTCCCAACATCATCACTATTAACAGCAGGGTAGATGCAATAACGATATTCTACACCCACAATCCCTGCCAAGGGGAACAATCTTGCCACAAGTAAAAGCAATTAAATAAATGGCGATCATTACTTTTTACCTTTTTGAACACATTACACAAATGCCAAGTAAAAAACACCTTTCTAGGATTACTTTTTTCAAGCATATAATTCATGTTCACCCTATTGAGGGCCACAAGTGAAGCAAAAACTTTGACTCTTGGAGGCACATTTGAGCATAATTGTTTGTAGCTGCACCTAGGCTGCAGAAAGTTCAGTTGGAGCACCTCAACCTACTACAAGCCATACCCTTATAGTCAGGCTCACAAAAAACCCTATGGCTCATGCTTTTTAGTAGGCTCTAGGCTACAAAAGTGTGTCATTTTATTTTCGAATCATTCATTCAAACCTTTTTATTTTTATTTTTAAATGACTATTAATTAACAATGCCTATATGTTAATAATGTTTACCTGTCAGATTGATGGATCTTGTTGTTTAATCTTATGAAATATTTGATGAAAATTGTAAGCTTAAGTATATATACTTAAATAACATGTGCTAGTGTTTGGGATCAAATTTGGTTTAAGAGTTGGTTTATGGTGGTTTTGGGGGTCTTACATATGCAAAATATATTATATTCATATAGGTTTCATCTAATAAACTGGAGAGAGAAGATGACAATTGAGTTCCAAGAACGGTCTCAGGGCCGTTCAAGATGGGGGTAGTTCTATCATTTTATAAATCATAATTGAGGGTAAAAAAAGTCATTGAACATCAATCCAAAGGTTAAAAATGCCCTAATATGTGATATAAGGGCAATAGTGGAACTTAAAATTTTTCAACACCTGACTTGATCAATTCCACTTCGGCATTGAGCATATTAATGGAGGGCTGAAATTGTTAAAAACATTTGCTTCGAGAAGAAATCAGTGTCAATTTTGAATACATAGGAGAGGTCTATGTTATTTCGCTTAACTAGAGAGGTCAGTGTAATTTACCCCTTACATATTATATGCTTATTTATTACATACTTGCCTTATTTAAATCGGCCTTGACCCTTTACCTTGGGTCTTGTGCTTAGGCTGCAAGCCTGCAAGAGACCTTGGCACCTTAGTGCGCCTTGTGCCTTTAACAACTATGCTTTTGAGTACTAGTCACTTAGCTGCTAGGCTAGGTTGTGGTTGCTAAAAAATTGGAAGAAAGAGAATATGTAAGAAAATGGTTCGTTTTTAGGGACAAATGTGAAAATTTGACTAACAGAGGAAATATAAACCTCCTATATAATATCTAGCAAAGAGATTAATTGTCTGTGCCTTCAATATCATCGAGGTTAAAAGAGAAGTTAATATTCCAATCGCTAGCACTAAGCGTGAGTGGTACCTCCTACCACCACTAAAGGAGGTGGAACGGGGGTTCAACTCCTAGTTAGGATCCTTTGTGTATATTGTACCTACCCAAAACAAAAAGTTAGAAGTTCGAAGAATGGCCAAGGTTCTCCCTCTCTCTCTCTCTCTTCCACCCCTCCTCCTCCTCCTCCTCTCCATATGAGTAATTTTAAGAATTGCCAGCAGATTAGAATAAGGAAACAGGCAATTAGCTAGTTATAGAATGTAGAAATGAAAAGGTCTTGTGAAGGTGGTAGAAAGGAAACTTCAGTCCACCTACTCATATTCTTATAATACTTGAAACAGAGCAAATATTTTCTGTACCTTTAAGAAATAGACTTCCAAGGATGATGGTGAATCATTCTACTACTGCATGATTTGCATCCTACCCATATTCCTGGAGGCCATACTTGTTTTCCAATCACTATGTGCCAAAGGAAACTCTCCTTCCTGGAGATTTTCCTGATCATTTTCAGCTTAGGCTTTGTTCTCAAGGACCATATTGCCTAAACCAAGACCACTTACGCCATAGAACCATTGGGGATTTTGGAAGCAATACAAACATGGGTTTTATATAGGTGGGGATATTAGAAATAGCTTCTTAAATAATGGTAATTCTGCCCCTTTTTTTTTTGGTAAGCATAATGGTATTCTGCCCCTAAAAGAAATATGAGCCTACTTTCACCCTGCTAGTCTCTTAGACACCTTAACCATGGGCTCTCAAAATCCTTGCCAAGTGGATTCTCCCCATGTGCGAGATCGAAATACTTCATTATTCATTCATCTAACCTCCATTGGGATTATGCATTCATTTCTTGATTCTCCTTTTCATTATTTGCATATTTAAAGTATTGTTTATTCTCTCTAATTCCATTTTAATATGTTTATATATTTGTAATATATACACCTTCTACGCTGAGGCTTATGCTAAAAAATCCAACAGATTAATTTCCATCTTTTGCCTTCTAAAATATGATTTCTGTTGGAAATCTAAAAGAGAAAAAAATTGGACAACATTTTGCTGCTTTGAACATGTTCATGATTCTTCCCTACCCTTTCTCTCTGTTGCGTGCAATTAATATATTCAATTCAAACAAATGGTGTAAAGGACAAAGAATGAGATTTATTTATTTATTTATTTTTTTTGAAATTTCTAAAGCTAAACAATTACTATAACTCAGCACTTGCAGTACTTCTGGTACCCTTCTCTGGTGCATGAAATATTCATTTGCTTTTATTTAGGTGATATGTGTGGTGGTACAGGAAAATGGAAAGCCCTCAATAGAAAACGAGCTAAAGATGTTTACGAGTTTACTGAATGCCCAAACTGTTATGGTATGTATTTTCCACTGATGCTCCTAAATACTAGTAATATTTATGCATTTAACAATATTTGTTTGCAATTTTAGATGTGCATTCACTTGAAGTAAATTTTTATTTTTCAAAGGATATTGCTCAACTAGTAATGCCTCATGGCACATTATATTTTTGTAAACTATTTGTACTTTAGGAAGAACAAGTGCTCCTAGAATGGAATCATCAGAACAAAGAGTAAAAAACAACTAGTGGTTAAGGTTGATTCTTTATTTCAGAGTACTTTAGACATTGTTCTTATAGACAAAGTTTAGTTGATGTTAAGAATCTGCAGTCGAAGCTATTGGTTTAACTAGTTGGAATATTAGATCTTGTCAGGGGGAGGATTGTTAATAGGTCTTTTTCAAATTTTGATTAATTTTACCCAAATTTCCCAACTTTATCTATTTCAACTTATCACAACCAAACTTGGTCAACTCAAGCACATTATGTAATCACATAAATAAATAAAAAAGACCACGAAAAATTATGTGGGAAACGGTAAAAACCACGGGATGTTATCCAGCAACCCTAAGACAGACGCGACTCGGGAAATTTTTAAAAATGGGACCTAGACACAATGAGGACATGGTATTAAAATAAATTACCATTTTATGGCCATAGCAAAAGTTGTAAATTTTTATTATCAGATAGTTATAATCGAACTGCCATCAGAGAAAGACACTACAAAAACACATAATATATTGAGCTCAAATTACCGGAAAAAATATATGTTTTGAGCTCTTAAGTCCACTCCATTTTTTAAGGTATGTGATCGGGACAATTTTTAGGGTGCAAACTCTTTAGGGTAACATAACACAATTTTTCAGGCAGAGGATACAGGACGAAGCCATATACTTGACCTCTCAAGTCCAGTTCGTTTTATGTTAATTGGTCAGTACAATTTTTTAGTGGATGCAATCTCTATCTGAGCATAGCCTCAAATGGTAGCTATTGCCAATATTTATACTCTTTATATTTTTGTAGAAAACAAAAAACTTGTTTTAAGTGTTGGCATGAACATGCATGGTGTGCTGAGTGCTGTACAGTGTTGGTGTTGTTGCATGGAAAAGCTTCATTAACTTACTAGGAAAGGGATGAGAAATTGGAACTTTTATTGATATTCATTCTGGATGAAAATCAATAAAATATCATGACTTGTGCTCTGCTATGTTGCAACTGTTTTCTTCTTTCATCTAGAATTGAAATGGTTGCGAGTGACTCTCATTGTGGTTGGTGGTACAGGTCGTGGGAAACTTGTGTGTCCTGTTTGTTTAGGTACAGGATTACCAAACAACAAAGGCCTTCTCAGGAGGCCTGATGCAAAACAATTACTTGATAAGATGTATAACGGTCGACTGTTGCCAAACTCTTAGGTAAGTTTTCCATTTTTCTTATATTCGATTTTGCTTTTATTAGAAAATCTACTTAGTGCTTAGCCGGCACTTTATTGCATTCATCAGTTCAGAACATCATTACTTACAGAGATAAACATGATTTGACTGCAAAGACCATTTCAATATTGCAGGTTCTACTCTTCAGACTGGCCAATGGAGTATGGCTACTTTCAATTATGATTGTTATTTCTATTTCTAAAGAGCAGCTGTTAGGAGCTGTTCTCCTGTGGCATTGTATTTGACAAGATGGACAAAGAAGGGGCCAAAACGTATATAATTCTGCAGCAAACCACATGGAGAAGCCATCTACAGCCCTCCTCTTTTGATGTACTTTTGTGCCATGGTTCCACTCTTTTGGGGCTTAATTTATGCGCTTGGCTAGAAAATTGCCACTACTAGAGTTTGGTCACAATCTATCTGATGCTGGTTTGTCATAGACTCGTGCATTAGATATTGGGTCTTTCCATGGAAATGATTTTTTTTTTTTTTTTGTGTAGTTGGAGATTCTAAAATGCCTGCAGAACAGGCTTTATTGAGTTTGATATTGTATCTAAAATCAGTACATGTTCTTCAAAGCATCTAATCTGAAATATATCAATTTTGTATGTTTCTACATTCCTTGCTCCATTTGGATGGATTGATTTGAATTGAAGTGTCTTGGGGACAGTGAGACCCTAGGAAAGGCCTTTACTGGGTATTATCCCTGTTGAAGAGAGGGTGCTAAGAGGGACATTTCAGGTGCAGACCTAATTTTAAGTGTTTTCTACACTTTTACGTGTAAATGTACGAATGTGCCCACCTACAAGCGTCGTTGTCTCTATTTCATATTTTTTGTGAACAGATTTAAGAGCGTCTTATTCCCACATTGTATGCAAGTTCAAGGATAAACATTTATTCTCAATTTTCCGCAAACCATGATGCAGTTATAAGGACAACCTTGACAGCCTCACTGTGACCAATTGAGGGGACACTCTCACTGTGAGCTTCTTCTTTGCAGATCACCGCAAAGGGTAGCTCAGGGTGATAGCAATAGCATCCCCTAACTAACTAAATCCATTTACAAAATCGGAAAAAAAGGAGAGGAAATTTCCATGTGTTATTTGTAACTCCGGCAACAAATAACTGAAAATCAGAAACTTTACAAAGACTCTGTTTAATTCAGTTTTTTAAAAACTGTTTTTTGAAATCGCAGTTATAAAAATGCATGTTTCCAGAGAACTAGGGCCTGTATAGTTTGTAACTCAGAAAAAAGTTCTAAAAAATTCAGAAAATAAAAAATCTTTTATCAAGAATTCAGAAAACATAAAATCATTTATAGTTCTCCGAAAACAAACATTTTTATAAGTGAGTTTTCATTAAACTGTACCAAGCAGAGCTTTTTATATAGTTTTCTGTTTTCAGTTGTATGAGAAAAGAAATCTGTTTCCATAGTTACAAACCAAGCAGCCCGTATTTTTTATCTGTTCTTCCCATATGCGACCGGTCCTACCACCTCTAGTTTCAGATCCTGCTTATCACCATCAGAAAAGATCTCCAAGTTTTGCCGAATAACTAGTCCATCTAGACCGTCACAAGCTGTCTCACGAATGTTCCTTGGAACTCCTTGCCATGTTAACTTTCTGCCATTTCTATCAACTTCGAAACTATAACTGAATTTCTTTGCCTCATCATCATCGCCCATAAAATGCAGGAAGCCCATGTAAATAAGCTCCGTTTCTAGATGGAAAGCCTCAAAGTGTGTAGGGGTTCTTTTCTACTAGGTAATAAAACAACAATAAAATAGAGATATTAGGAATACAAATACGAAGGAAAAAGAGGAGATGCTCAGTGCAGGAGGAGGAGAAGAAGACCAATTATCAAGATAAAGATGGTGGTAGGGCGAGTATACAATATTTCATGACAGCTTTTCTTCCTTTCGGGGGTTGGTTCTTTCTTCATAGGACAGTGCCATTTATAGATCTGGATTCCATTGGTTATTATTCAATTGTTTCTTCTATGCATGGTCCCTCGCATGCATCACCCCCAATCCGGATTACGTGAGTAATCATGAAGATTTAGGGGTCTGAAGGGTCTAATCATTTCCTCGAGCCTTGTCCCATGTTGCCATGTCACTTCTCCCCTAATTAGGGGCATTAAATGTTGCTTGGCCGTCGGTTGGTCAAGCCTGACATAACATTAATTGTGATTTTAAGGTTTGCTGTTGTAATACCCCGATAATTTTAAAAGATTTATTAATTAGGATTAATTATTTTATTTTATTTTTCAATGATTTATTTTATTTTATTGAGTGCTAGATTAATTATCTTATTTTAATTAAGTTATATTTCGTGATTATGTATGATGATTGATTGTTTGTGTGGTTGATTATTGATTGAATTATTGGTGTGTTGATTTTATTGGTATTATATGACTTAGTTGTAAATTCTTGTTTGTTTATGTGCTTCATGTAATTAGTTATTTTAATTTCTGTATTTAATTAATTATCTTATTTATTTAAATTAATTGGATTGGGCTTAAGGAAAGTTGGACCAAAAGATGTGGTCTTGGGCTTGTATGAAATCTTATTGGGTTAATTAATGAAGGTCCGTGGTTATCTAATTATCTAATTATTTATCTAATTATTTAAATGATCACTTTTGTATCAATTATATATATATATATATATATATATATAATTATATATAAATATAATTAATTAATAATTGTTATGGAAAGATATATATATAGATATATATTTATTGATATTTATAAGTATATATGATTTAATTAACTAATGAGTCAATTATGGAAGGAATATATATTTATATATATATATGTTTATAGATATAAATTATTTAAAGATTATTATTTTAATTCATAATACTAGTTGGAATAGGATTTGGAATTTAAGGTGTATAAAAATACACATAAGGTTTTAGGGTTAAAGGTTTTACACGTTAGAAAAATAAAACAGACAGAGAGAGAGGAAGAAGAAGGGCTGACAAGGAGGAGGTCGGATCTGAAAAGGAGGACGTCGGAATTGGAAGAGATAATTAAAGCTTAAAGCGTCGGTTTCGTTTCGAAACCTTCAGGCGAGTTTTCTCTAACTTTCCTCTTAGAACTCATAAGGATTTCACCTTGAGTATCAAGGCTTTAATTAAATTTATTTGTTTAAAAATTATGGTTAGATCGGAATAATTAAAAAGTATAAACTATTATATTTGATTTTTAGATTATTGGATTTTAATTGATATATATAGGTGTTATGTATATTTTAAAATCAATCTATAGGTGGATTTGTGACCCAAGAGAGTTAATTATGGTTTCTTTATTTTCTAGAATTGTTCTGTAATTTTCTGTAATTTTTCTGATATTTTTAGGAATTTATTAGGATTTATTTTCCTATTATTTGTTAGGAAAATAATTATATATATATATATATATAGATATATATATAGATATATATATATATACTAGGTAACTGGCGCATGTGGAGCGGCGGCACAATAAAGAATTGATCCAGTGCAGCGCGGTGTAGGATAATAGGGTGTATACGCCAATTAGGGCCATTTGATTAATTAAACATATGTGAATTGATATGGTGCATCGCGGCGCATAAAAGTTTGGTGCGCAGGTGTATCTGGACCATAGAAGTGGTCTGGTCAATTATGGGATTATTTGGTGTATTGCAGACCATGAGAAGATGGTGCACTCGCTGATCTGGACCTTAGATCTATTATAGTTAATAGAAAATAATCTAGTGTGAGCGTGTTCATTTGCGCACTCATTTATGACCATTGGATGCGGCATAAAGGAAGTGATGGATTCAGTGTGGTGAGCTCACGGTAGCTGAAAGAGCTTAGCCAATACCAGCACACAAGGAGGCTTGAATCCAGCGCGTGCAAGTGCATAGTAAGCACGTGGGCGCGCGTGGGAAACTATGTTGGCCTAATTCGACACTAGAAATTAAAACGGTCATAACTTAGTCATTTTAAATCGAAATTGGGTCATTCTTGAGCTCAAATTCAAGGATTTTTCGTCTTCTTTCCAATGGTACCAATTTCATTATCAGATTCCCATCCTACTAGGAGATATTTATGTTTTAATGAGAAAGTGTCGGAAAACTATTTAAACCAATATGGAGTATTTAAAGGAAACTATTTCTGACATATTTAGTTGCACTAATTTGTGTAAATATAATAAATTAATAATTTGTTATGGAAGGAAGTGTATATATATATATATATATATATATATATATATATATATATATATATAAAATTATTTATATATGTGTATATATAGTTTAATTTGTCTATGAGTTGTATGGAAGGATGAATATATATATATATATATATATATATATATATAGATATATATATATATATATACACATATATAAATAATTATATATATATATATATATATATATATATATATATGTATGTATGTATGTATGTATATTAATTTTAAATAATCAAGGATTATTAAAGAAGGTGTTAAACACATATATACATTAAATAACATATGTGTAGGTATATATATATATATATAAATCATTTAAGATGATTAATATTATCATTCTTATTTGGCATATCTTAATAGGCTGGTTGTTAAATTAATGATATGCGTATAATGTGCATGTGATGGCTATGTATGAATTAGCGTATTGTTAATTTTAAAGTTAATTCATGGTTAAAGTGTGGGCATGGATGAATTGTCAAATGATTAAATATATTACCTAAATATTTGTATGAATAGAATACATATATGGAAAGCATGGATGAATTGCTAATTAAATGTATGAATAAATATACCTGTGGAGGCATGGTTGAATTGCCAATGTATAAATATACATACACGGAGGCATGGTTGAATTGCCAATGTATAAATAAATATACTTATGGAGGCATGGTTGAATTGCCAATATATAAATAAAAATATTTACAATGGCATGGTTGATTTGCCAAAGCATAATTACGTTGTTATGTGTTAGATGATTAAAATATCATCTATGGTTGTTGTATGTATGGATTGGATTAGGGTTAGATATTCTTAAATGAGAATAGTTTAGTACTTACTGGTTAGTGTATTATTTTACATTAATAAAATAATATTGGGGAAGACGTGGATGATTTGTCAAAACTTGGATTTTGGATATGTGATTTAAACAATTAAAATCATTATCGGGTTGGGATTAAATAGAGTATTTCTTTTATTATAATTTGTTGTTTAAATGATTAAACAACTGACTAGGATGGGATTAAGGTCAAAGGAGTTTTTATAAAATGAAATGGTAGATTGGTCTAGGTATGAATATTATTTTAATAATTATTTAATAGGTATGGAAATTTAATAAACCTATTAATGGATGTGATCAGTATAGTATATATAATTATATATAGACATGTATATCGTGCTTTATTAAAGTTAAAACTTTATTAGGTTTGGTTTTGATCAGAGATGATCTGCTTATTGGTTTTCAGAGGCCTGGTAGAGTGAACTTGCTCGTAGGGTTTAACCCACGATTTATTTTTCAGGTTATTAGAGGTTCCAGTCTCGAGGTTGAGGATCCGCAGCTGGGAGACTGTCATTCGTCTATTCATCTTGTGTACTTTTAAATAGTATTGGATTAT